GGCAAGTTTCTGATCATTGGTGGAGGTATTGCCAACTTCACGGACGTGGCTGCGACGTTCACTGGTCTCATCAAGGCTCTCCAGGAGTATGCCGATGACATCAAGGACCTGGCAAGTGCATGTTGCATGACATCTTGTTGTCAGTTTAGGCCTAGCTGCGGTGCAGGCATTCGAGCATATGCGGCCGTCAGGAGCACAAGATCAAGATCCTGATTCGCCGAGCTGGTCCCAACTACCTTGAAGGCCTGCGCAAGGTGAAGGCTGCCAGCGACAAGCTTGGCCTCGGCATCAAGGTGCTTGTCCTGCAATGTCTCGAAATGTAACTTACTCTAAGCTCAAAGTGCCAGGTGTACGGCCCGGAGACCCACATCACGGCTGTGATCCCCATGGCCCTGGGAAAGATCGATCCCCTTCCAGAACCGGACCTGTCTGCTCCTTGCGGACCTCCGGCCCGGCTCCCGGGACGTGTGAGGGTTCGAAGGTGCGCTTGCTGCCCTTTGGGCATATTCAGGTTCGGAAGATGATTGACCTCAAGGGCAAGAAGCACGCCTGGCGAGATTGTACGAACAGTTTGCATGCTTTCTTCGCGACCTTTCTTTCTTTGCAGGCCCACGCCGAAGGGCCATCCTCCTGCGCCTGCAGGCGGATAGCTTACTCTGCTGAGATCTGCCCGTGTTGTTTGCATCTTGGTGCACTGGTGCACAATCTACGCTACCGCTTCCGTTTCGTTGCTAGCATTCGTCTTCTTTCTCTTGATGGCTCTGGGCGCACGGTACGATTGGTGGCATCATTTGTGTTTTCTTGCTGTTGGGCTGCATGTTGAGATCTTTCGTGCGCAGGCACCAAGCACACACTCGTGACGGCCACGTCACGCCCGCATGTTTTGAATGCAAAACATGCATCCTTTCACCTCTCGTCTTTCAGAATTTCATGCCGGTGGCAAGGCCAGAGACCACATCGATTGTGTACGGCATGCAAAACCGAGCGGTTCAAGGCTAGGCTGGTTTCTTTCTTGCCGCAATTCGTTTGCAAGGCACTGCCAAATACGTTCTGTCGGACGGTGTGCGCGGATGGCAGAATTCATGACTTCACAGCGTCCAGGTATGTTGGACTTTGACTTCATGTGCAAGCGTACCCTGGCAGAGTGGTGTATGGCAAATGCGACCGTGCGAAGCACAGTTTTCTGCGATTGAGGCAAGAAGCCGTCCGTGGATGCCATGGTCTTCCCCTTCTCCGGCAACTTGGCTGCGACGAAACTAGCTGACTGTGTCACTGCTGCATCTAGCCTCGGAGCAAAAGCCAAGGAAACCATTATGCAACTGGGCTGCATGTAAGACTGCTGTCTCGACGTAACATCCGACCTCTTCTGGGACCGACAAGGTCAAGTTCTACTGGGGCACAGAGGAGGCAGTTGCGGGAATGATTCCACTGTGTTTCCCAGTCCAGCCGACAGAGCACTGACTCGTGATTTTCTCCGCAGTAGCTTTACCTTCAATTTTGTTGACTGCTGCACCGACATTTGCCTTGCAGATCCTGATGCCTGTCTACACTACGACCAAGGAGGCATTGCATTTTCGTGCCAGCAGTGTACCTTCAAGTTAGGCAGTGGTGTGAGGGGAGGATGGGGAGACGTGGGCCACACCCGGCACATCCCCGTAGACGGGCAGTGTTTGTGCAAGAGTGCACCGCGGTCTGCTTTCGTAGAACTGGCTTACTGGCGCCAGGCGGTGCAGAAGCATTCCAGCGCCTCTGTGTTCGTTAACTTTGCCTCCTTCCGCTCCGTGCACGAAACCTCTATGGAGGCCTGGTGAGGGAGCCGTGTTGGGTTTAATTGGAACAAATGTCTTCAGATGCCTGGTTTGTGAAGGCCATGAATTACAGCAGCTTGAAGACAATCGCCATCATTGCCGAGGCTCCTTTTTGCGGGTTCTGGCGGGTTGTGGCACTGTCGTGTGCTTGTGCCTTTGGCAGGGTGTGCCTGAGCAGCAGACAAGGGACATCATCAAGGTCGCCGAGAAGAAGGGTGTAGGCCTGCACGCTTACCAATGCAGAAAGTTGATTTGTTATTGAATTTGCCGCTGATGGTACCAAACTGACAAGGCATCATCGGCCCAGCAACTGTGGGTGGCATCAAGCCTGGCTGTCTCCGCATTGGGAACACTGGCGGCATGCTGCAGCCTTAGATGCCAAGTTTCCCGGTTCGTCTGGGGGTCTGGTTGCCCTTGAAAAGACCATGGTGCAAGGTTGGACAACATTGTGATGTCCCGTCTCTACCGACCGGGTTCTGTTGCCTACGTTTCCAAGTCCGGAGGAATGCCAGGAGCCAAGCTCGACTCAGACGAGAAGCAGGCCGTGAAATTGTCGGCCCAGGTCGAACGAGCTCAACAACATTGTGTGCCGTAACTCGGACGGTGTCTATGAGGGTGTTGCCATCGGCCGGAGCCTTTGCAGAGTTGTGCAGGCACTTGTCGTAGGCCATTCCATGCTTCTCTGCTGAGTTGAGGTGGCGACCGCTACCCTGGCAGCAGGTTCTTGGATCACTTCCTTCGCTACCAGGAGATGAAGAATCACCATCTTTGCCTGTAATCGCTGCCATGTGCGTGTTACACTGTTGCACTTCTCTGAGCCACCTCGGAAGGACGACCCCAGCGCCAAGATGCTGCTGTTGCTCGGAGAGGTTGGCGGAATTGACGAGTACGACCTGATCGACGTGCGGCCCCCAGCTGGTCGCCCTCCCAACGGGTCCGTCAGACCCTCGTGGTGGTGAGGCCGTGAAGAAGGGCCGAATCACCAAGCCAGTCGTAGCCTGGTGCGTGGGCACGTGTGCCTCGTGCTTCACTACGGAGGTGCTTCAGCCTTTGAAACTTTGACTGCACTAATAGACGCAGCAGCTGTTTGCTGCTTGTGAGCAGGTGCAGTTCGGACACGCTGGTGCGCAGGCACGTGGGCTTACCCCTTTCGAAGAGTGGACTCTGGACAACCCTGGCTGCCCAGGCCCGCGGCGACATGGAGAC